CATGCCATCTGCCTTATACTGCACGACATCTGCAGGCAGTCTATGGGGCAGCCTCGAAAAAGCCAGGCGCCTCGGATTTTTGTCGATCTGGTCTGCTGAACCTGAGTCGCGGGTTGATCCCTCGAAACTCCACCCAATTATTGCATGGTTGTACGGGCTCTGCAAGATGATTCCCTCGTGTCGAAAGGAAGGAAAATGCTATTTGGTTTTTACTATTGTGCTTTTTGATGATGTCCCCAGGGTTTCTGCAAACTCATTCCGATTGATTGACATGTGGACTGACGGGCGTACCTCGATCGGTCGCCAGCCTCCCGTATCCCCCTCGCCAACGCGCCCCTTCCTTTACAACGAGGAAAGGACACGTGTTTGCGAGTGGGACGTACGAGAAGCTGTCGCACGGATCGGCGGACGATATTACTTCCCTCCCAAAAATCGTTGTTCTGGATCCGTGGACACGGGCTTTGTCATTGTCGATAGGCACTACCCGCCTTACTCAGTACTATTGCCATTTAACGAGCTGATCGTCATTCCGTGGACGGCCCCATTGGCCTCGAACCCTGTGCACTGAGTGCCAGCGTTTCGATCGCTACGAATCAAAGGGCTTCCACTATCGAATACGGAGTGAAGACGAGCACAAGGAAAGAGCCACGCGGCTGAGACCCTCCACGTCGGACTCGGAACTGACCAACGAGCGACGTCGGGACTTGATACGGAAACGGGACACGCGGAGTGTACCGAAGCCCTTCCGCTCTAAACGAAGATCTATAGCGCGGTGGGAAGTTCGACAATACTTTTTGGATTGAATTTGGATTTTTCTCTTTTCGTGTCGTGCCCGCGCGCGCATTCCGCGACGCGCGAAAGCAACCGACTTACTTCATTGGGCCAACACGGGGGATTTCAGTTCTGTCTGTGTCTCCACACTCACTTTTCCAAAAATCCTTGGCACACCCCATCTTGCTGTTTTCCTGGGCCTTCTTTCCGCACCCTTAGCACTCCGAACGGAAGACAGCATAGGGCGTGAGGTTGCGCGTCACAGCCTTCGGGACCCGAAAAAAAATCGGCTGTTTCTACTCACTCTGTGCGTCATGTCAATTAGAGCGCGACAACCACCGCGAAGGGACAACGGTTTTCCAAATAGCGGCCAACCCCTTCCCTGTTCCCTAAAAGCAGGCAGGCCGAACGGAGTTCTGTTTTTTTTTTTGGGGGGGGGGGCGGACCAATAGAAATCCACAGGTCCCCGGCACGCCCACCGCTTTCCGCCATACTTCTTGTGATAACCCTCGAAGGTCGGGGCTGTGGGATTCAAAAAAAAATATACGGACCGAATGGCGCGGTGCCTACTCCCAAGGCACTTTTCCGATTTTTTGTTAAAAGCGTCTTGTGGGATCCAAGCCTAACTTTGGCATTTTTTATCGGAATTCTTGGGTGCGACGGACGATTCCGCCATCATTACAGCGAGTGGAAACGGAAGCTGAAGTTCTTCCAGGCCATGCGCCGACGGCCTGTGGAGTCTTAAAAAACCCTACGCGCCAAAACCTGGGCTTTTCCGCATGCCTGTGCGGTCCGGGCCTTACATGTTACATGTTACTGTGAGTAAACAGAACCCGAGTTTGAACCCTGCTCATCAGATGAACACAACAAAGTTGGAGGAGGGCTCGTTCTGTGTTGGCGCGGCGCAGTGCGTAGCAGGGTTCGTTTTCTGTTGGCGCGCAGTGCGTTCCCCGCCCCGGAGAAAAGTGCCTCGGGAGTACTGTGCGTAGGGCCTGCCAAACAGAAAAGGTCACCGCCAGGTGAAATGCTTGTATCTGGACTGAAAGTTCTCCCAAATGCAGCTATAATGACTTCGAGAAAATAGTGGGTTTGGCCTACCTGGCAGAAACAACTAGTAATAACAACAGTGTGCACAGTGCACAAGCTAACAGCACGACTACCTTCTTCCGCCAAACATATGGCATGTGCTTTGTATTCGTTTACAACGCATATGTTTGAGTGGGCTGCAGCAACTTTCTGGACACAAGGGGGGCGGGTCCAGGTTGAGTAGGCTCAGTTCTGGCTGGTGATGATTTTCAGTGAGGGTCCCCGGAAGTGAAAAAGACAGACATGGTGTTGTATATTTCCATGTTCTGGCCGAGGATTCATCCTCCGTTTCCCACTTGGGGCCTCCCTTCACTCCTCACGAAACGTGCCAAAATGAGAACGACTCTTCCGCTCGTACATGGAAAGATACAACGCCCTATTCTCTGTCGAGTAGTGGAGCCAGGCCTGGCGGAGTCAGGCGCTCCCCTCCTCCCAGCTTCCCGCTGCCCCCACTGCCACTTTCTTG